CACTAAAATAACTATATAGCTCAGAGACGTGCTCTATTTACACTTAGTTTCATTATAGAGTTGCTCCGGAGTAGCAGCCAAATGAAGAGACACAAGGAGACTTGGAAGAGTCCCAGACATGTAACACAGGCATCCCCACAAAAGCATCTCCTCTTGGCACACGGATGTATGATTGCCAAACGAGAAGTCCGCCTGAGCTCTGGTGTCTTAAGATCTTCCTGTGACTTCAGAAAGTCACAGGTGGTCATACCTGCCCACAGGATTGAACTCAGTCCCCCTCTCCGTGCCCTCCTCACAAGCAGAGCTTAACATGTGACTCAAATGTAATTGAACTACGAGCCCACTTTCAGTCACCTTGCTGGCATAAATTTAGATGGGTCCTGGGTAAACCATGAATTAAAAAGATACGCGAATCACTTGGAAAGTTCCAGAGATTTATGGGATCACCTTCCAGAATGGAGGGGGAGACACCAGCCAATTTTTTTTTTTTTTTGGTTTTTCGAGACAGGGTTTCTCTGTATTGTTTTGGAGGCTATCGGTCCAGCCCAGCCTTGAACTCACAGAGATCCGCCTGCCTCACCAGCCAACTTTTTTATTTAAATTTTATGTCTATAGGTGCTTGTCTGTATGGAGGTTCTGTGTACCCCATGCATGCTTGGTGCCCAAGCAGGACAGAAGAGGGTGTCAGATTCCTGGGACTGGAGTTGCAGACGGCTGTGAGCCACCATGTGGGAGCTGGGGATTGAAACTGGATCCTCTGGAGAAGTAGCCAGTACAGTGGCTGAGATATCTCTCCAGGCCCCTAGCCAAATTCTTAACTATACAACTTAGTTGTGAATTGAACAGGTAGAAGGAACAAATAAAATCCCAGGGAGGGGAGGTTAACAAGAAAATGGTGGGGAAATGACACAGTAGGAAAATCTCCCTGCCCCCATCTCACTAACAGGTTTTACTACTGTTGGGGGGAAGTCCTGTGATTATGTCAATAAAGCAATGCTGGCCAATAGGAATCTAGATAGGTGGGACTAGGAGTCCAGGAGGACTCTGGGAAGGAGGAACACAGAGAGTCAAGATGTAACGTCATAGGGTAGGAAGCCCGGAACTATTCTCCGGTAAGAGAAATACTTAGATTAACAATTATGGGGTAATTACTTAAGTCAGAGCTAGCCAGTAAGAAACAAGCAAGGCAAACAGCTTCATAATTAATATAGCCTCCTGTGTGTTTATTTGGGACTGATGCGGCTCTAGAACCAGGCTGGCGGGAAGGCTTCTCTCAAGGAAAAAGCTTTTCTTTACATACTACCTTGAGATCATCTTGCAAGTCATGACCCCTACTTTGACATTGGCTCTTCTGTTGACTACTCAAGAATGTCACCTTGTCTGTCTGTCTGTCTCTGTCTCTGTCTCTCTCTCTGTCTCTGTCTCTCTGTCTCTGTCTGTCTTTGTCTCTCTCTCTGTCTCTCTCTGTCTCTGTCTCAGTCTCTCTCTCTCTCTCTCTCTCTCTCTCTCTCTCACACACACACACACACACACACACACACACACAATACAGAGGTTGATCTGGCAGTTTCTGACCCTGCACACAGATCATGAGACAGAGTGCAATTAGCTGACTGACTGGCTGGAAAAGTCTCTCTCACACCTCTGGGATGAGACTGGGACTGCTGGTGTGCATTGATTCTCATCCTGCAGTCTCTGTCTACATGTGTCTAAACTAACATGCTTCTACACATGATGGCCTCACTCTATCAGGACAGCCTGAATGTCCTGGCAAGGAAATGAAAGCAGAAAGCTTCTGGGTCTCCTGGGATTCATTTATGAGTACTGAGAGTTCTGCTGGTCAAGTCACAAGGTCAGCCCAGACTGAGGTGAAGGGACACAAACCCATCTCCTGATAGGCAGTGCTGGTAATCCCATGGGTGAGAAGAAGACCACTACCACAAACTTTGAGCCAAATTTGAAGCAAGTTTTATTAAATATTGGCCAGGATGATGGACACTGGCCAGGTCCATACCAGAGATGGCAGCAAATTACATTAGTCAGAGGTTTGTTTATAAAGACAAAACCCACAAGGCTATGTACTTGCCACTTTTGTTCAATCAGGGGCAAGCAAACATCCTGAAGTACTTCCTGCCTATGTACCTCCAGTCTGCATGTGACCAAGCTTGTTTACAGAAGAGAAAACATAGGGTTTGTTATCTTACATGAACAACAGCCCTGAGCATTCCAGGAAGTTATCTGTCCGTGGGCAACTGGGGTTTACAGGTTTGAGGCATTTTTGTTTTATAGAACTTTTAAGCTCAGTAACTTAAAAATAACTTTACTTTCACAGTGCATCGTGTGGCATGTTTCTACAGAGACGGCTGGAACTGCTGTGACCACTCTGACCTTTAGTCTCCCCATCTGAAAATGGGGATTGGCATACATCAGCCCTCCTCATATTCTGCATCCACAGATTCAATCATACAGAGAAAGTATTTTTAAATGTCCCATTGTTTATGCCATGTATCATAATTAAACCTGTAATGACTGCGTCTGTACTGAGTATTGGTGTTTTATCCTTGTTGTTACTCTAGACGCAATAAGAGTATTGATGAGAACAGGAAGTAGAAACTGGTCAAATAGAGCAGATATTCCAAAGCAAAGCTTCTAAGAATGTCCTTGCTGAAGGACAGGAATTCTGGAAGGGAGCTCTGGTTCCTGGTTCTTCACTGTCTCTGACCCTTTGCTGGAAGCTGTAAATGAGGACCCAAACGAAACTGAGTAGAGACACCAACCCTACTGACTAACCCATCCCCATCCCATGCTTCATCCCCATTTCTACTATAAATCCTTTCAAAACCAGATGGATTAGCAGCTCAATGTCACCCTATTTCTTGGGACCACCTCCTGTTACATAGGAGCTCCCTTTATATGTATGTCCCAGTTCTGTGCAATCACATCATTTCATACAAGATACTTGAATATCATCCATGGGGTTCTGTAACTGATACTTCCTTGGATCCTTGATTAGACTAATGACAGTTTTAAGAGATATAAGGTGTTTGATGGAGTTTTATGTATCTCAACATACAGAACAAATAGAAAATATGTTAGTGGTGGTGATAAGGAAAGGTTAAGTAGAAGAATTGAAGCAGATTATATGATGCCCCCAAAGCAGACAGAGGTGCCTGGAGTGATGGTGCAGACCTGCAATTCCAGTACTTGGGAGACAAAGGCAGCAGAACCAGGTGTTCAAGAATACCCTTAAAGAGCAAGTGTGAGTCTAATCTGAGCTACATGAGTCTCAAGAAGCGGTTTTTGTAATAAAATATTTTTGAGGTTTATTTTTTTTATGTGCCAGGTATTATAGTAATTGCTTTGTATCATTTTTATTGTGTTTTTTTTTGAGACAGGGTCTTGTGAGCTAGAATTCCTGATTCATGTGTTGGGATCACAGGCATACAAGCTTATAAATATTATCTTTAATTACCACAACACCACCAAAGATAGATACTTTTATGACAATTAAGCAGAAAGGAAATTTGAAAGTAAGTGGCAGCCCAAGAATTTGAACCCAATTCTGTTTGTTTTCAAAGTGGTAACTATGGATGCTAGAATTTCTTTTATCACTCATAACACAAAGTTGGCAAATTTCAGAGGTGAAATCCGGAATCAACATTTAAAAAAAACAGCCACATTATTGTAAGAGAAGCATCCAACTTTCCTTACACCAAAAGCATACCATAGAGTCTTCAGAGGTTTCCAGCAACCCACAGTCTTAACGGAAAATTATCTTTACAGTGCAGAAAAATAGGGTTGAATAAGGAAGCTTCTTGAAAGTGGGGAGAATAAGTGCCTTCGAGAACTATGCCTGCTACATATTGATTAAAAAGATAGGAGATGAAATTTTGTATTTGTTCTCACTTTGGAGTCCATCATTTCTTCTGCTAGTAATTCCCAAATGCCTGCTTCACCTAGTCATTTTCTCCTCATTCCCACACATCTCATTTCAGGCATGACATCAGAAACTTGCCTCTTCTGGGAATGCACCCCCCCATTGTCTTGTTTACATTGCTTTACATTCCTCCTTCAGCATTCACTTAGATCTTTTAGGGTGAGCATTGTCCAGAAAAGAGGAGCAGAGGAAGGGAGAGATAACAGTTGAGTCCTTAGAAAGAAGCCCTGGATAAGCAGAAGGCAAAAGCCACTGGAAGGCAGTGAATTTCCCTTTGTAATGCATGAATATTTGTTGAGAAAATGAACATTATGGAATTTATCAAATGTCAGGAGTTAAGTGTGTGGCAAGTAGGTGCTTTTTTCTTCATTTTTCATCAATTCAAGCAGTCAGTTCTTTTCATAGTCACACATATTTTTATTCCCTATAACAAATCATTTAAATCTTGTAAATAGGAAAGGTGCAGCAGATTTCTTTTTCTTCACATGATCACAAGTGAACTTGGTAACTTGTGAAAATGAAGCATGGTGGCATAGGGCTGTAACCTCAGGTAGCAGGAGGCTGAAGCAGGAGGGTCCTCAGTTCAGGCAGTTCAGGATGCTTAATGAGTTCAATTCAGGGAGACCATCTCAAAAAACAAACGAGAGTTACTTAACCTCTAGCCATGTTGCTTCATTTATTAAAAATTGTGATCTTTCTCCTCAGGTTGCCATGATGGTCCCAATGTGACAATTCATGTCAAAATGATTTCTAAAATAGTGGTGGCCAGTAACAATGTAGACAATATGTATATACTACTACTGTTATTCTTCTGCACTCCGTCCCTGCCCCAACCACAGAGAGTTCTCGCAGGAGTAGACAGGAATAGCAGAGATAGTTGTAATTTTCAGATTGATTTTCTGTATTCAGGAATATTCTGTAATCGGATTAATTTTCAAATTAACTTTCAGATCAGTTTTCCGTATTCCGATCACCTGCCCTAATCCAGCATGGCAGCATCAGCTACACTCACAGCTCCTTTCCGGAACCCAACGACGCCCTGTGATGACGCAACCCCCTACTAGCCTCCGGGTTTGCGCCTGCGCAGCGGAGCCCTCGGGTGGGCGGAGCTGGTCGGCATGAGTGGCGGAGGAACGGAGACCCCTGTAGCCTGCGAGGCCGCTCCGGGAGGCGGCAGTAAGAAGAGGGAGTCGCTGGGAACGTCGGGTGCGGCGCACCTCATTATCAAGGGTACGGAGCGGAGGGCGTGGTCTTCCGTGCAGGGTAGGGGAGCGTGCGGGGCCCGCCCCTCCCGGTGCTCCCTGGCTCGCCCGCCGCCCTCAGCCGCCTGGCCTGACTCTGTCTCCGCCCCAAGCTCACTTCCCAGCCCGCAAGACCCACCTCAATGCCACCGGCGAAGGAACTAGTTTGGGCCCCACACAGTCACTTAGTAGGCTGGCTTCGGTCCTTCTCCCTTCCCTACCCTTCGCGCCCGGCTCATGCCACAAAGAGAAAGGACGTCACTTGGGAAGACGTCCTGAAACACCGTGCACAGCTCCAGACAGTGCTGACCTGTCTCCTTTGAACCTCAGACGGCTTCAATCTAAATTACTACAGTAACTCAACTAGGCTTAACTCCTAAACCTCTGAAGTCCCCGTTTCCGGCAGAAAGACCTCCAATTGCGTTTTCCACTGCCTCCCTTAACTCTCTGCTGACCCTGTCCGTCTCACCTGCGCCGCCTGGAGGGGTGGGGAGGTGGGGTGGGGTGGATATGGTTTCTTATCATTGGTGCGGATTTCCATTTTAATCTTACCGGATCTGTGGGCAGCCCCAGCAGAGCTGGCTGTGGCTGGTTTTCATGTTGTCTCTTAGTTTAATTTGGTGTCAAGCAGTATTTGCATGTGTATTAAGACTAAGTTAGAATTATTTCTGTGTGCAGTCCTAGTGAAGAATTGATTCGTTTTATGACTTGTTGACGCACCGTCGTTCCATCTACAAGTGTTTATCTTGTGAAAGTTTGTACGTATTACACTGTAACTCCTCATACCACATCTCTGACGAAAACCCATCTGTGAATTTGCCCCGTGCCTCTGTGGGCTTGGGCGGCTCCGCTCTTTCACTGTTGGAGACAGTGCTGCTGTGAACATGCGCGTACAGACATCCTTTTGAGGCCTCATGTTCAGCACTTGGGGATGTATCTCCAAGTGGATTCCTGGGTCATATGATGGTTCTTTAAGCTTTCTGAGGAGTTGACATAGTCTATATCTGCTACATCTTTTCTATTCTGCCGTTCTTACCATCACTTGTCATTTCCTGTCTTTAGTAGTAGTCATTCTAGTGGGTGAGAGATGATACCTCTTGTGGTTTTGATTTGCATTTCCTGTGATGTTGGGTGATAAGTGTACGTATTTTGGCATGCTTACTACTTGTTTGTAGAAAAATGTCTATTTAAGTCCTTTACTGAGTGATGGTTCTTCATGTGTTGTTGAAGGCAGCTGTGCTGACCACTGTATCGCCAATGCTGGTCTGTGCAGTTCCTTAGTGCCCTTGAGCAGGAGGTTGCAGATATTTTTCTCTCTGGTTGTCTTTCATTCTGTTGATTGTGTCTTTTGAGGTAGAATTTTTCAATTTTGAAGTAGTACTGTACTGCAGATCAACCCAAGGCCTCCCACATGCTACACAAGAACCATACTCCAAGAGGCTACATCACCACCCCGTTTTTCTGTATTCTTATTTTGAGATGGATGATCACTGCCACATTCAGGACCCAGACACCCAGCCCGCCCTGTATAGGTACTGAGAGAGCTACTGTTTCTTCTTATCCAGTAGCCTCATGGGATTTACATCAAAACACTTCTCTGTGTCTTTGTGGGGAGGTATTTATCTAACTTTCACATTATGATTGTGTAGAGATCAAAGGATTACATATTTCAGTAACATTTTTATTATAAACCAAACAATAAAAAGACCATTTATAGCCTGGCTAGAGTTGGATTTCTGTGGAAATCTGTATTCTACACTGCATGATTAAACTAGAAGAATTCATATTTAATATTTGGCACTCTTACAAACTGAATTGTTATAATGGACTTGTTATAATGGCAGTAGGTAGCATTGTAAGTACCTAGTAACTGTGGTAATGTGTATTTCATGATATGTCCCCTCCCCCCAGAGTTTTCCACAGTTGAGGTTTTAGAAGTGACTGTCAATTTACTTCTGTGTAGAACTGGATTATCTCTGCCAAGTCAAAGTGAGCTCCTGTTATATCATCAGGCTGCAGAATCTGATATCTCCAAACCAGCCAACCTTAGCTGCTCCTCAGTCATGTAGAAAGAGATGGTAACTCATGTGTGCTGTGTGAATAGCACCAACAGCTTGCTCTGTGAGATGCTCACCAGGGAAGAGGTGATTGGGTGCCTTTGTTTTACACCATATGCTGGAAGTAGATGCCTCTGGTGCTTCAGGAATACAGCATGAGGACTGTCTCTGAAACCTGGGCTCAAGTTGGTTAGCATGAACGACGGTGTCAGGGAAGAATGAGGGCTTAGTGGTTGTAGGGGAAAACTGGCATTAGGTGATAGGAGTAGCTGGGGTATAGAGTTCTAGGCCGTGGCACTGTGGGAGCTGCATCAAGATGCCTGAGACAGCAAGTGTGTTTAGAAAACTGCAGGTGACTCAGAATGGAAAACCTTAGTTGTGTTTTTTGGGGAGCCAAACTGTGTGTATCCTGTTAGCCAGTGTGTTTCAAAGTCTCTTGTACTCTTGGGCTGCAAATAGATGCTCTCTCTTGAGAGTATATTCTCTGCACAAGGCCTATAAGCTCCCACATTCTCTCCTTCTCACCCAGGCAGTCATAAATCCTAGTATACCACTGGTTCCAAGATCCCAGTAAAGAGCTCTACATACTCTGTTGCATACGATGTTTCTCAGACTTACTAAACATAGAACTTTCTTCATTAGAGAAAACTCCAAATATCTCCTGCAGAAACGATGTGGGTAGTAACCTGTTGAGAGATTTAAACACAGTTGTGCTTCTATTTTTTCTACTTAGTGTATTAGCAAGGTATAGCCTAAAAAAACCAACAAAACACAGAATTGGAATCTGGTGCACTTTAAAAATAAAAAAATATAGGAAAACTATTACCAGCATGTGAATATAGAACAAACATATTTTTATTTGGGCATTTAACTTCTCTAGCTGTGGAGAATGAATAGACTGACTTACCCAAATAGATGAAATCAGGATTTTCTCTCATAGCTATGGCTTTTTCAGATTTATTATAAGATACTTAAAACCAGCTGAGTGTTGGTGGCTCACGCCTTTAATCCCAGCACTCAGGAGGCAGAGGCAGGCGGATCTCTGTGTGTTCAAGGCCAGCCTGGTCCTCAAGAGCTAGTTTCAGGACAGCTTCCAAAACCACAGAGAAACCCTGTCTCAAAAAAACAAAAAACAAAAACAAAACAACAACCACAAAAAAAGATACTTAAAACCAACACTCACCACCCATCATCTCAGCATGGAACTACTAAGGATATATGTCTTCAGCTCTGTTAGATATTGTTAGGGGGCTCTCAAAAGTAGTTCCACCAATTAACACACACTGGAAGTGGATGAAATTCCCTCCTGATCCATGGTTTGAACTGGATTTTAGCCTATCTTCACCTGTTCTAGAGAAGGGGGAGAGTAAAATGGGCCAGAGATTGCAGCAGTCAACATGAATTAATTCTCCACTCTTATTTTATCTTCCTAGATCTTGGAGAGATTCATTCAAGGCTTCTGGATCACAGACCAGTTACCCAAGGGGAAATTCGTTATTTTGTAAAAGAATTCGAAGTAAGTATCTAAAACTTACTTTGCTGAAAAGCTTTGTGGCACTAATTGTTAATGACCTCCTATGCCAAAGAGTAATGTCTGAGGTTCAAAACCTGACTTTATTTTATGTCTTCTTAAAATGTATGTAGTAAAAAATTATGAAAAGATGAAAGTAGTTGTTAAATGCAAGACCAGACAGCAGGAGATAGGGGGCCATTCTGGTGCCTACTCTTGAACTTTTTAATGTTTGTCAATTGCAGACTTTTTCTCTGTGAAACCAGATAAAGTGAAAAAAAAAAAAAAAAGAACTCCCAGGGATTGATGGTCTGAATTTCCAGATGCATTTGTTGTATTTTTTTCCTTGGTTGGAGCATGAACAGTCAAGCTGAAACATGAGAACTCCGCTTGTCTCTTCCATGCTGTTCACATCTGTGAACAAGTCTACATGACTTCACCTGGGAATTCCCTTGCTTCTGATTGCTGTGCCTGTTTAACCATCCAGTCAGTTTCAGTTTTCACTCTGCCCGCCCTACTTAAAACAGTGTTTCCCTCTTTAAAACCCTTTGCCAGCTGCAGGATGAAGTTCAGGCATCCTCTGTGACCTCCCCTCCTCTAGCTGAGCTCACCACCTGCCGCTCTTCACCGTGCTTGGGAGAATGTGCAGTCCTGTTTCATGTTATTCTAGTTCTGCACAAGCATTCAGTGGTAATCTCACAAGCTGCTGTTGTATTAGGATTCTATGGAAGTTCAAGTTCTCTCTTCAGATGAGACTTTGACCAAGAAAAATGTTTGAACCTGTCAGAAAAAGAATCTCCTAATAAACCCTTAAAACTACAGCAAGTCTATGGTGCTCAGCCCTCTAGATAGAGCTGTAGCATCAGACAAGCATGTTTTGGTTCAATAGACCCTGTAACTCAAAACTGCCTAGTACCCCACAGGTTCTGAAATTTAAAGACATGTGCAGAGGCACGTGGGTCTTAGGCGTGTCTGTTACCTAGTGTGTAACTCAAAACTGCCTAGTACCCCACAGGTTCTGAAGTTTAAAGACATGTGCAGAGGCACGTGGGTCTTAGGCGTGTCTGTTACCTAGTGTGTAAGTGACTTTCTCATCACTTTGACCAAACACCAAACAGAAGCAGCAGAAAGGAGAAAAGTTTTCAGCCTGGAGGGGGAAGGCATGAGAGCAGGTTGAGCAGATGGGGCTCTTCACATCCGGGAGGAGGAAGAAGCAAAGGCGGGACAGGAAGCAGGACCCAGCTGTAAGCCTCCTGGGTCAGCCTCAGGGAAGAACTTTCTCCAGCGGCAGTCTACCTTCTGTAGGTTCACAACCTAAAACAGTCCACCAACTAAGAGTCGAGACACGTAAGCCTAGACATTTCACACTCGAACAATAACCCCAGGAACGTTAGCAGTTTTCAACATCCTTGCTTTTGTGTGGGATAGAACAGTGTTAGACAGAGAAAACCACCTAAAGGGCGTTCTTTATATGTCGTGTAAAAACATTACTAGTCCCTGCAAACTTGCTATGATTCCTTTATTTTTGCATGAATATGTTTAAAAAGATTAAATATTCCATATAGGATAAAGATATAATTATCCTTAAGCCCTGGATAAATTCACTATGTAGACAGGCTGGCCTTGAATCCCTAGAAATCTGCCTGCTTCTGCCTTCTGAGTGCTAGAATTAAAGGCATGTGCCACCATGCCTGGCCTTAGTTACATGTGATACTGTTTGTTTATCTTTAAACACTTTTCTGAATCCTAAGTGTACAAAAAGTAACAGCGTTGCAAATCGTCAGTGAGGACAGAAAGTGCTGGAACATCGTTGATGCAGCAGTTCTTCACGTTGTTGACAATGACAAATTCTAGTGTGTTTAAAATCTACTGCACTTAACTAAGAGAAATGCAGACACTTCTTATGCCAGCTCACCAGCCCTTTCTCCCCTTTTCCATAGCTAATAATGTCAGCAGAATGTATGTCACTGTATACAAGACACCCTGAAGCTAAAAGGATGACCTAACAACACATCCAGCCCCACAGTACACTCCATGGGCTACGGCCCCTCCCAAAGGCATCTTCTCCACGCCTCACTGCCAAGCCAGGAGCATCAAGAGTTTCTTTAGTGTTTTGCTTTCCTTACAAACTAAGATACGTACAGCTCAGGATTTCTATCCTACAACCACATACTCAATACTGCCTTACAGAAATACCAGGAACATCTGCAAATGCCTTGTCACACCACCAGCAAAGTGCAGTGAGGGGAACATGGAGTGCCTTTTCATTTTAAGAGTGTTTGGAGGGGCTGGAGAGATGGCTCAGCAGTTAAGAGCACTTGCTGTTCTTGGAGAGGACTTGATTCCAGGTCCTAGCACGCACGTCAGGCAGCTCACAGCCACCTGTAATTCCAGCTCCAGAGGATCCAATGCCCTCTTCTGGCCTCCTCAGGCACTGTATTTATATGAACAGACACAAACACACATAATTTAAAACAAAATACAAAAGGAAAATAAAAATGTTTGGAGCTACGTATAGCTTTGATAGTTTAAGGATGTGGACACTTGTATAATCCACTGACACTTTGAGGGACAATATAATCATGATCCATTTTGTAATAAAACCTAACAAGGTTAAACCCCTCAAATAAGATGTTTCCCTACTGTGCGTAGACAGGGGCATGGCTGCTGTTATGTGTTTTAAAATGAACCCTCTTTCCCCTCTTCATCTTCCTTTTCTACCTTTTTCTGGGCGATGTTAGAAGGACCCTTGGCACCATCAAACTTCCCTTAGATTTCTAGCCACTGTCATCCTTCCATCCGTCTTCAGCTGTGCGGCCTTGGTGATGTGTGACCGCCTCTCACTGTCCTTCAGTCATTCCACATCTCACTCAGATTTTCTGCCCGCGTTTATGGGTTTGACCTTGGGATGGAATTCTGAGCAGAATAAGGAAAATGTAGACCATGCTTGTTGTGGGGCACCAGTGCCCCCTTTCCTCTTCCGTCCCTCAGCTGGTCTGTAGTCCTTCATTCCCAGCCATGGTGCACTTTATCTACCCTTGCCATTTCGTAACTGGGTACCCTCTGTGCTGGACATGTCATCCACCGCTTACAGCACTGTCGCTTACAGCACTGTTTGGAAAATGCTGAAACATTGACAGGGACCTTTAGGCTTTTCTTCTTGTGCTTTTTTTCTTCTTCATGTATAAGCAAATATTCTCATTAACTTTAACTGTCAGCTTGATACAGCCTAAAGTCAACTGACAAGGGAGTCTCAATTGGAGGAGTGCCCCGATCAGATTGGCCTATGGGTGTGTTTATGTCTTGATTACCTTGATTGTTAACTGGGTGATTCCAAGCCCACAGCAGGTGGTTCCAGGCTCTACAGAAAACTAGCTAAGCATGAGCTTTCAAGTGAGCAAGCCAGTAAGCAACATTCTCCTTATGGCAGTGGCTGTCAACCTTCCTAAAGCTGTGACCCTTTAATACAGTTCCTCATATTGTGGTGACCGCTCACCCCCCCCCCCAGCCCTCTTTTCTTCTTTTGGTTTTTCGAGACAGGGTTTCTCTGTGGCTTTGGAGGCTGTCCTGGAACTAGCTTTTGTAGACCAGGCTGGTCTTGAACTCACAGAGATCTACCTGCCTCTGCCTCCCAAGTGCTGGGATTAAAGACATGAGCCACCAAATGCCTGGCTCCTAAAATCATTTTCATTGCTACTTCATAACTGTCATTTTGCTGCTGTTATGAATCATGATATAAGTATTATTGGAGAGAGAAGCTTACTGAAGGGGTCACAACTCACAGGTTGAGAACCACTGTTGTATGGTTTCTACTTCAGATTCCTGCCTTGAGTTCTGTCCTGCCTTTGCTCAGTGATGCCCTGTGACCTAGAAGCATAAGTCAGATAAAGCCTTTCCTCCCCTAAGTTGTCTTTAAGGGTGAGCTCTCTCATAGCAACAGAATGAAACTTGGATGGCAAACATTTTGCACTTTGGTTTCTTGGGGACCACCTTTAACCATCCTGACTATGGTTTTCTCTGATTTAGTTGCTCTTAAATGTGGAGTTATAGTGGGTTCTTCCTTTTCCTTCACTCCAGCAACTACATTATCATCAAGTTCACCCCAAACCACTTATTAAACCTTTCCACTTACCTTCTTATGACTGGCCTTGCCCCCTTGCAGCCCTCCCTGTGGTCAGTAGACTCTACCTGATTACCCCATGCCCAGCCTTATTTCTGCAGACCACTTTTCACACACTTGCTTGCTCATTTCCGCTCTTACCACCCTCACTGAATCCCTTTGCATAAATCCATTTCCTTGGCCACACTTCAGAATCTCTGATGGCCACAGACTGTTGTGCAGCTCCGTACCCACATTACTGCATCCACTTTCTTCCTTTTTCTTCAACATCTCTCAGTTATTGTTATTCCATCTTTCTAAAATGTCCCCTCTCTCTATTTTTTTGCATGACTCACTCTCCTATTTAGAGTATAGGTTGAATGATCACCACTGACCTTCTGCAAAGCAGCCACAGAAGCATCTGTCTTCCTGTTCTCTGGGATACTCTGTGCAGCACTACACTTCCTGATACCACGTAGCAAATTCCCACACATATAAAACAAGTTCCAGTTATTCGAGTTCTTTATGTCAGAAGTCTGCACATGGGGTGGCCAAGACCTCAGCTCGGCTTCCCAGGAAGCCAAAGTGAGGGTGTTGGCCATGCTGCATTCTCCTTTGTGGATCAGGGCCATCTTCCAAACCCACACTGTTGTAGCACAGTTCAGCTCATTTCTGGAGGTGACTTTCAGCTTGCAGAGGATAACTGTAGACCTTGTCATGTAGCTTCTTCTGTCTTTGGAGCTGGCATTGGAGAGTCCGCCTCACCTGCAATTCCTCTTATGCTCTAAATCTCTCTGGCAAGAAGAGCCCCTCCCTGCCCAGGACTCACTTTACAAGTCAGGGCCTCCACAGATAACCGCTCTACCAGTCACCTTCTTGGAGACCTTAATGCTCCCGTAGTATTTAT